TTCCTGCTTTGTAGTCAGTTGTTTGGTGTTTTTTAGGAAACTTTTGGCAAGAACTTTTCTACAGAAGCATGTCAAGACTGTGAACAAAATGATGCAGACAATGGGAGTACTATGTCTACATCTTCAAATTTTGAACCCTTTGCCACGGATGACCTTGGTAAGAATAATATGATTTACAATGCAGCATTAATCCCTCCGTCCTAAAATGCCTGCAATTGTCTATGCTTAAGTGGTATACTATTCTTTGGGGTTTTTTTAGTGTGTAATCACATGTTTTGCAAAACAACACTTAGAGAAATTAGCCACTTGTGAAACAATTTGATCAAAGTGTGTAATAAAATAACAATACTGTTATATATAGATTTCAAAACTTGTGGCTTTGAATTAATTTTTATCATTGTTTACTTGTCTATCAATTGAAAACTTTATTTAGATTAAAAGGTGTTTTTATTCTAAATATAGGCAACACAGTGATTCACTTAGATCAAGCTTTGGCTAGGATGAGGGAACATGAGCGTATGAGAATTGAAGCTGAAAGTACCCTTGACACTGAGGGCTGCTCTAGTAATGTTCAGGGTGCTTCTGCTGCTAAATTAGAAGGTATGCATATATATATGTATTTTGCTTAGATTTAGAAAATAATTAACTATCAAGAATCATTTAATTGGCCGAATTGCTTTCCTTTGAATTTATATTGAAAACTTAGCAAAGTTTCAAAGTATACTTAAATGTGATTTATTTAAAAAAAAAAAGGAAAATACATGTTTCTTCAGTTGAATTTCTTTAATAGTAATGTTGAATGACTTAAATGTGCATTATTTTTTTTTTTTTAACAAGGTCCAAGTACCAATGAATGTCCTCCGTTGCCACAGTCGAGTGAAGTTTCTGCTGTTCCTTGTCCTCGTATAGATACTCACCAGCTTGACCGGCAGATTAAAGCAATTATGAAAGAGGTCATTCCTTTTCTGAAGGTAAGAACTCTTTTGAGTAATGTGTGAAGTAAAAGAATAGGAAAAGGTCCTGCATAATTGCATAGAAGAACATTATTTAACATCAGTAACTTACATCTTAGCAGCAGCTGCCAATAAATGTGTTAAGTTGCGGACCTTGCTGAGGATGCAGAAAGAATTAAATACTCCCAACAGAAAGATTCTGTGGAGTTTTTAATAGGAGAAGGAAATGGTAAGGTGTCTAGATCGCATAAGGCTAGTGGACTTGACGCAAAGAATAGTTGAGATTTCACTGTTTGGAGCCTACCAAATAGAAATGTTTGAGAACGTACTTCTGAAATATTTGCTACCTTTTAGCAAAGAGAACTGAGATGATTTTAATTAAAACTGTTACATACAATGTAACTTGAGATATTTTTGAGGAATAGCTTTGTGAGTTGGTAACTTTTAGCATTTTCTCCTGTTTACAAATATCTTTAAAGTTGTTGAGAGCTTGTAAACTTCTGTGAACTAAAGTTCTGTGAACGCAAAGGAGAAACGTACTTCTCTAAAGGAGAAATAGGCACAGTTCATTCTTTGCAAGGTTAAAGAGCAGAGAAGATTGAGTTGTAGGATGCTTAAGTCGTCTCACTGTTCCCTTTTATAGTATGTGCAGTATATAAGCTTAGATTTGTTTAATTAAGGTACTTGGTTGCTATTAGGTTTAAAAACTGTGTATTTTGTCGACGTGCCACAGTCTTGGTGCCTGAAGACTTCTGTTTTGTGTGCAATTTTAAGGAAGCTTACAACAGTAGATACCTTAACATACACTTTCACACCCCTGAGTACACAACTGCAATGTATGAAGAATCTTAGTTCATCCAAATGTTGGAAGATGGCGCATAGTAATGTATGGGCAAAGAGAGATAAGGCTTTGTGTGTCGTGGCCCGTCAGTCATTAATGAAGTATGGTATCTGCTCTAACTGTGCTCCGGTTAGTTTGTTTTGGCGAGATGGGTTAGGACCTGTTCATGGAGTGCTGTTCCTTCAGTGCACAGGTGATTTTTTTTTTTTAATATAAAAGGATTTCAGTATTTGAGTTGACGGCTAAATTTTTTTTTTAATGGAACTAAGCTCATTCTGTGATACTTGTTTAGGAACACATGGATGAAGTATGCTCTTCTCAGTTATTGACATCAGTAAGACGTATGGTCTTGACTCTTACACAACAAAATGATGAAAGCAAAGAATTTGTGAAGTTCTTTCATAAGCAGCTTGGCAGTATACTTCAGGTTAGTAGTTTTTCAGTGTTTTGCAGCACTGTTGCAACTTGGATAATGAGCAATGATAAACCAGCTTCCCTGAAGTTAGATTTTTACAGCTTCAACAGCGTAGCTGCTGTTCTCCTTCAGCTTTGATACAGCAATGAGGTATTACCTTGTTTCCTAAAATTAAAGCCTTATCATGCACAGAACTTCTTTTCCATCACTGGCAGACAATGAGAGGTGTGTCTCATGCCTGTGGCTGCCTTCAAGGAGAGCTCTGGTGTTGCTCTTTGTGGACATTTTGTGTAAATTCCTGAAAATCAATAGGCTACTCTTTTTTCTTTTTTTTTTTTCTACAAGCATAGAGTTTAAATCAGTAACTTGATAAATTCTGTGTTATGTGACTAGAGATTCTGCTTAAAATCTGTTTAAGACACTAAACCATGTTTTTTTTAAAAGTATGAGCTATTATATATCTAACTAATTTTGAGTTATTAGGAATATGACAAATACTTAGTCTTTGGAGATTGAAACCCTTTTTAAAAAACTGAAGAATTATTTCTCTTCACAGGATTCACTGGCGAAATTTGCTGGTAGAAAATTAAAAGACTGTGGGGAGGATCTTCTTGTGGAGATCTCTGAAGTGTTATTTAATGAATTAGCCTTTTTTAAACTCATGCAAGACTTGGACAACAACAGTATTTCTGTAAAGCAGAGATGTAAAAGAAAAATAGAAACTACTGAAGCGATACAGTCGTATGCTAAAGAGGTTTGTTTTATTATATTTTTGAAAAATGTAGTGTTTCTGAGTTTCCTAAATATCTGTATTTCTTAAACTACTTCGATTACCTTAGTTCATATGTTGTATATTTGGGGTGTTTTTACAAATTAGTGCTGTGTAGTCACAGTATTGCTTGTGTACAAGCATGAAGTCAGTAAGGGAGATGTCCTGTATTACAAATGAGTGTCTGTAACAGATATCTAATTAGGTAGACTTTGTTGTTGGTAATTCAGAGGAAATGGGGCTTATTGGTTATGTGCACATAGGAAGGAATAGTCAAGTGTTGAAATAGTATTAACATCTGGGGCCACTGAGCAGTTGTTGTGGTTTAACCCCGGTAGGCAACTAAACCCCACACAGCTGCCTGCTCACTCCCTCTGGTGGGGTGGGGGAGAGAGTTGGAAGGGTAAAAGTAAGAAAACTCATGGGCTGAGATAAAGACAGTTGAATAGGTAAAGCAAAAGCTGCATGTGCAAGTGAACAAGGAATTCCTTCACCACTTCCCATCAGCAGGCAGGTGTTCAGCCATCTCCTGGAAAGCAGGGCTCCATCACCCGTCATGGTTACCCGGGAAGACAAGTGCTGTGACTCTGAATGTCCGCCCCTTCCTTCTCCTTCCCCCAGCTTTTGTTTCTGAGTACAACGTCATGTGATCTGGAGTACCCCTTTGGTCAGTTGGGGTCAGCTGTCCCAGCTGTGTCCCCTCCCAGCTTCTTGTGCACCCCCAGCCGACTCACTGGTGGAGTGGGGTGAGGAGCAGAAAAGGCCTTGGCTCTGTGTAAGCGCTGCTCAGCAATAATGAAAACATCCCTGTGTTACCAACCCTGTTTCCAGCACAGATCCAAAACAGCCCCATATCAGTTAGTATGAAGAAAATTAACCCTATCCCAGTTAAATATTTTAACATATGGGAGTCCCAGTTCGTCTCTCCAGTTACACCTACAACTTTCCTTGCAGTGGCTTAGTTAGGCACTATCTTTACCTAGCTTGAATAAGTCCTATGAAGTCATCAAATAGTGGACTTGTTGGCATATGTAGAAAGTGGAGAGTAAAATATATATAAATTTTTCAGAAATATTTGAGACTGTAGTACATATTCTGCTCTAACAAAGCAAGTTTTGCTGTGTTTTTGCACCATTTACGTTATTAAAGATGTTGCATCACCTTTTTTAATTTTAGTGTTGCAGTTTTTAGGAACATAGCTCTTTTTTTTTTTTTTTAGTTATATGACTGTTTACAAAACAAACACTAAACTGGATCATGTTCATTTACTTAAATTGGTCCAGTATGTACTTCAATATTTTTTCTTGTATAGTATAGTTATGACTGCAGTGTCCTTTCAGCTTTCTTTTAGAAACACAAACACCAAAGCAAACCCTTAACTCATTCTTATTTTAAAATGTAAATGGAAGATATTTTATGAATCTGTCATAACCTGTGAAGTCCTGTCAATAGTTTTAAATGTATCATCAGCTGTATTTCAAGATAGTTCAACTTAGATATACCAGTAATATGGCTAGTATGAGAGAGACTGCAGAGTGCCTTGTAAAGAGGCCAGAGAAACACTCTGAATCCAGAAGGATTTGGACATGACTTCCTATTTTATCTGAAGTTGCTCATTGGGCCTTTGTTACTTAAAGGATTGGTTTACACACTGTCATGAGAATGCATGGAGCCAACTTGGATCTGACATTTCTTCTTCTCTGCTGGAAGACAGAGATTTAGGGTTCAGGTCAATGTTTGCCTTGTTGCTGTGGCAGCAGTTCAGATTCAACAGGGCCAGAGATGAGCCAGAATTGGTAGGTCCTGGTTACTTTGTACAGACCTGCACAATTATCTCTATATAGTCTTCTCTCAGCTTTCAACTCGGAGATCCTGATGCAGACACATCTGATCTTGCTCGATTTTGTGGTTGAGTCCAGTAAGCTAACTAGTTTTAGATTCCACACTGAAAAACACAGATCTCTGTCTTGACCAGAGCTCGTATATCTAATTCTATATGTTAAATATGATTCAACCACCGACTGGAGAAGTAGCCTGTGTAAATGTAATTGCTTAAATAAAAAGGGCTGGCACAGTTTTTTGTCATGTTTTGCAACTGTACAATTTTGAAGACATCTGTGTAAACGTATCTTGTAGTGTAGAAGCCCCTCTGGCTTACTGCTGTTTTGATATAGCAGTTCTTGGTAAATTTGGCATTTCGGCCAGGCTTTCATGAAGCCCAAGTTTGGTTCAGTATTTCAAAGTTATTTCAGTTCAGAATTGAAGGCAGTTTGTGTTTCTTCTAGGCAAAAAAATGTCTCCAGGTGGATGTTTGTTCATCTGCTGAAGATGTCGATGAGGACAAAGTATGTTTATGCTTCTCAACTGTCTTTACTCCTCACATAATTTCACATATCACTTAGTCTTGCTGTTTTCTGTCATACGAATCCAGTATCTGTAAGCAGCCCTAATACTTATAAATTTATTAAACATCATGGGTTTTATCTCCTTTCTGTTATTTTTAATGATTTACTTTATCAGAGTATCATAGAATCACAGAATGGTTTAGGTTGGAAGGGACCTTAAAGACTATCTAGTTACAACCCCCCTGCAATGGCCAGGGACACCTTCCACTACACCATGTTGCTCAAAGCCCCATCCAACCTGGCCTTGAATGCTGCCAGGTAGGGGGCAGCCACAGCTTCTCTGGGCAACCTGTGCCAGTGTCTCACCACCCTCAGGGTGAAGAATTTCTTCCTAATCTAAATCTACCCCTTTTCAGTTTGAAACTGTTACCCCTCGTCCTGTCACTACCCTCCCTGATCAAGAGTCCCTCCCCACTTTTCCTGTAGGCCCCCTTGAAGTACTGGAAGGCCGCTAGAAGTTCTCCCTGGAGCCTTCTCTTCCCCAGGCTGAACAACCCCAACTCTCTCAGCCTGTCCTCATAGGGGAGCTGCTCCAGCCCCCTAAAGTAACTAAGTAAATTATAATTTCCCTTATTTAATTTGAGTTGGTGATCTGGAAAATGACTACCAAAAAATCTGCTGTCATTAATAAGTCTTTGTTGTTATATGCATTCAGTAAACCTGGCTTGGATATCAGTTCCTTGGTTGCTCTTGTTTTTATTCCTGTTTCTACTGCAGAGCCATTTAAGACTACTTGATGCGTTTCTTGTAAAGCATTGTCTTGTTACCTTTCAAGAAGCGCGTTCAGATCAACAAAGATAGTATTAAAGATACTTTTCTATTAATTGTTAGTGACCTTTATGTAGAATGAGCTTTGCTTCAGGACCGACAATTTAAAAGTTTAAAAAGAGCAAAGTTGATGTTGAATGATATGCAACTGAAATGGAATAATTAGTGATATTTGCTGAGCAGCTTTAGGGTAGGATCTTGCTTTTCCTTTTAGTATTCATTTTCTGCATTTTAAAGAAAAAAAAAAAAAGACCTGTTCTGAAGGTCTGGGGTTGATGCCTCTATTCACAGCTCAGAGCATTGAGAATGTAGTCATTTGTTGAAGAAATAAAAAACAAGGAGGGCTTTACTATTTTTAGGAATTAACTTTTTTTTTTGAATGGTATGGAATAAGTTGTTTCACTTTTCATCTTAAGGAGAAGGCAGATGTTTGATTTGGGACCCATGGTATTTGAGGTCGTCAGAGTCAAAGGCCATGTGTGCTCTGAGTATTAAATGTTAGTGCCCAAAATTTCTTGGTTTTCTCCTTCTCTCTTTGTTTTGAAAACCACTAAAATCATTGTGTTTGGGCAGAGGGGTTGTATATGAAGTTCTGTATCCTGCTAGAATGTTCAGCTTTTTCCAACCAAGGGAGGAAAATACAGGGTAATGTACGAAGTTAGAATGTTGAATGCTTCCCTAAATGGGCATAGGCATCTGTGTGGGCATGTATGGGCAAGAAGTGCTTTCTTCGTGGGCTTAGAGCTTCTGTCACACTGCTTTGGAAGTAAAAGTGGGGAGCTATATATCACTTGTTATGGTTGCTGTAGTGTAGAAGAGTCCTTTCAATATTTCGAGCCAAACTCAGCCTTACTTGGGGTTCATACGGGCTGAGCAGAATTTTCTCACTCAAATCATTCAGCAGAGAAACTGCTGCGTAGCTTTTGCTAAAGAAATGAGAAGCTGCAGTTAGGAACATTCCTAATTTTTACTAGAGATCATTTAGGACAAGCAGGGAAGTCACTAGAAGGTAATAATGCAGGTGTGTCTGTCTTCCTTTTGATAATGATAAATCTAACTTAAAGAATTACTGTTTTTAAGCTAGCATGCTGATCGATATGAACCCTTTCAGATAATATTCAGTTGATATGTCCTTGATAACTACTTCAGAACAGTGCATGCTCTCTTTATAACAGGTTTTCATGCTCTGTTTCAGGAATAGCTTTGCAGTATTCATTTCAAGGCCTTAAGGACTACTTAAACATTAATTTTTAGTCTGTAGAATTTTTTTTCTTTTTGAGAAACAAAGGTGACTCCTTGATGCAGAAACCATAACTTAATCTTTAGGTAAACAAACATGAAAATGCACAGTATTTTCCTTGTTTTCCTAGGACAAGGATGAGACTGAAACTGTTAAACAAGTCCAGGACTCAGAAATGTACGACGGTAATGGAGTTCCTGAAAGTATTCGATCAGATGCTTCTGATCAAGAGGAAGACGAGGAAAGTGAAAGCGGTCCAGTGGCAATAAGTAAGTGATTTTTATTTAGCTCATTTTTCAGTGCTTTCACTGTAGTTTCGACCAACTAATTTTACAACAGGATTTGCATGAAGTACTGCTGTGTAACACCTTCTCTCGCAGATTTTCTAGTCAAGTCTTTTCCAGTGAAAATTTTCCAGTACTGTATTTACTAGTATTTGGTCAGTGGTTTAACATTCCAATTAGAGGAGTTTTTCTCTTTATAGTTGGTAGATCTGTAAAAACACATGCTAGAATCAGATTTGTTGTTTAAGTTACATATCCTGTCTCGGCTAAATTTGAGGTTTTTCAGCCTTGAATCTGAATGATGGGAAAGCTGCTGAAATTTTATGCAATTTTTCATTTAAATTATGATTTTTTTTTAATATGCTTCTACTTAAGCTTGCATATTTTTTAATAATTCTTTTGTCCTGTTCGTCATCTTACACCAACTACTCAGGGCTTTGTTTCCCCTATACTACGTTCTTCACACCAACTTTTTTAATAATTTAGATATTTCACACAGCAGTATTTGTTTGTAGTGTAGCTTATGTGGAGCATATGGATCTTTGAACATTAAGTCATCGCTGTATCTAAATTTCAAAGAATGTTTTGAAGTAAGAGTTATAACTGATCATTGCAGTAAAGTCCTAAAAGGGATTTAGATTTTGCAGCCTGACTTTTACTCTGTCAGGCTCTGTCAATATGTAAATCCAACATGAAGATGGTTTTACATTGATTTGCCTTCAGGTTTATCAAAAGCAGAAACCCAAGCTCTGACTAACTATGGCAGTGGAGAAGATGAGAATGAAGATGAAGAAATAGAATTTGAGGAAGGACCTGTTGATGTGCAGACATCACTACAAGCTAGCAGTGAAGCAACAACTGAAAATGAACAGGTATCACCAAAGTTGTAAATGCAGAACAAACCTAAGCCAGTGCACGACTTTGCAGTACATATTTGTATGTACCTCCGTTCTTGTTGCACTGTTTTCATACTAACAAAAGTAGAACGATACAAGAAATTACGTGAAAGCAGTAGCTGCTACATACAAAAGGTAGCATTTCCCACCTGAATTTATTATTGGTATAGCTGATGCCAAAAGACAGATGGACACAGACAAAACTAATGTTTAAACCTGCTATTAGGGAGAGAAAATGTTAAGCTGCAGCAGAAAAGATGAACTTTCAAAAAGCATCATGTTTTAAACGATTAACTGGTTCTTTCTGTTTGTTGACACCAAGTTCTAATTAGGCTTTCCTTTTCAGAAGCCATTGACTCTTGTATTCTAGCATGTCTTTGATTTGTCTTTCCTCTTTATCATATATAATTTTTTCTAGAAAAACACTGAAATGTTATTGGCTGCTATTATCATTTCACTGTTAGTTTCCTTAAACATATGGATGACCCAGTTCTGGAGGCTTGTTGAGTCTTTACATTTCAGTAAATAAGATTGACTTCTGACTTCTGTATCTTCTGAAACTTCAGTTTACTCAACAGCTGTTAACCTTAGTTAAGGATGTAACTGGAACATTTTACTTTCAAGTCTAAAACAATAGATCTTTTCAGTGGAATCAAAGAGTTTACCTGGGAACTGCTATAGTGAACAGAAAATGAAATGTTCAGATAAAACACACATATCAGTGTTAGTTTCTTACAGTGTTGTTGATTAGCTGATGAATAGAGAGTAGAGCTTGCTGTCTTTATTTCAAACTAGTAAAAAGACAAAAACATGAAGCAAAGGTACAGTGTGTTCTTAGATAGCAAGGAAGTGTAAATGAGCCAATAAGCTATCAAGCTGATTAGTAGAATTTGTTCTAACCTGTTTTCACCTTCCCCAATAGACTTCACACCAAGACTTGAGTAAGACAAAAAGCAGTGAGATTTTGTCACCAGAACAAGAATCTGTTAATGTTAAAGGTAAGCCCTGCACGCAGTCACGGAGAGATGAACACTTCTGCATGAAGTTGCATACTGTGGGAACTATCCAGGCAGTGCCTGTGGTGTAGGTAATTAAGAGGAAGATGACCAAATTTGCAAGAATTAATTGGGCTGTTTTTTTCATGGAACCATATCAGTTGACTGATACCGGTGTTGATACAGGCACAGAAAACCTTTTAAAGAGGAAACTTGGAATAATCTTACTTAAGTAGATGTGGTTTTGTGGCTTGACAATAGCATGAATCTCAGTTGATTGTTGCAGCCCTTAGCACACCACTGTAGCGGAGTTACATTGTCTATTACAGTATTTTGACCTTTAGATTTGTCTAGTACTTGCTTTTTCTGCTACTACCATTTACTAGCAATTGAAACCACTTTATATGTTAAAGATTTATTTCTGTGAGCAAAGCTGTGTTATAACTGATTAAGAACTGAGAACTCATTTTCTGTCAAAAGACAGAAACACTCACTACTGGGTGGTACGAATGTTACTTCTGATCTGTTATCACCTTTTCGTGTGTTTTTTTTGTTCTTTGTCTTTTTTTCTTAGAGTGAAGGCAGTACTTGAGTAGCTCCTACGTTGCCACAAGAATGTGGCAAAATGTTAAGGAATTTATTGTTCTGTATTATATCTCCTTACACCTAAAATGCATATTTTATCATATGCCGTATAGTTCTGGAAGTTGGTTTTTTGGTTTTGGTTTTAAAAAAAGCTGTATCAAGTTAGAAGTTTTTAAGTCACATACTGTCTTGTGATAATTGCTGATACTTAAGTGTGTGAGAATACAAAAACCTGATGTTTCAGTTCAATCAGCTTTGTGTTGATCTGAGACACTATAATTCACTTTCATTGCTCATTATAGCTTTGGATCATAATTTGCAAAATGATGATGATAATAATCTGGGATTTTTGTATGCTCAGAATCTTTTACTGTCTCTACCTAGTTAAAATGTAGTTTTGTGGTTTTAGGTGACCAAGATACGGCGACAGTTTTGCCTCATTACCTCAATGTCATGGAGAATACACCAGCTTTAACAGTCAGTACCCCAGAATCCTTTATAACAGCCAGTATGAGAACAGAAGAATCAAGCTCGTCTTTGCCAGTAAATGAAACTCAAACACTAGATACAATATGTGTAGGAAACAAATCTGCTGCAAGTTCTGAAAGCTCCATGGCTGGCAGCCCTGATACGGAGTCACCTGTGTTAGTGAATGAATATGTGCGTATATTTCAGTTCAGATACATCCAAGAGAAATGAGCAGCTTTTTTCTGTTTCAGTGTTATTTCTAGTTTCCATCTTCTTTGGTTTTCATCTGTAAATTTGATATGGGCATTGTTTTTTGATGTACTTTATTAAAATAGTCTAAGATCTACTTTTGGAATGAAAATAAAACAAAGTAGCGCTATTCTCTTAAATGTCTCTATTTTTGTTAACAGGAAGCTGGTTCTGGAAATGTAAGCCAAAAATCTGATGAAGATGACTTTGTGAAAGTTGAAGACTTGCCCCTTAAACTTGCAGTATATTCAGAGGTATTTGGCTGTTGTTTGTGGGGTGGTTGTTCAGAAGTGCACACCCCAAGTGTCTTCGTTATCTAGACAGCAGTAAGAATTATCCAGAATTTTGAGTTTTGCTTTATCTGTTACAAAGGCAGATTTAATGAAGAAAATGGCAACGGAGGCCCAGACAAACAGTTTGTCTGATGAATTACTGGATGGAGGTGGAGCTCAAGATCAAGAATTAGTAGGAGATGCCCAAACTTTGAAAGAACCTGGTAAAGATGATATTTTAAATCCTCTACACCTATTGGGAAAACGCTCTAGAATGGTCTAGAATTTACATATCTTGTTATCACTGATTGAAGTGAGCAGTTACCATGGTGCTGAAAGAATATCCTTTTTTGTTATCATGCATTTGAAAATGATGTATTTGGTATGAAGGGATTTTGCCTTCCATGTCCCACTATATACTTCTCTTTAGATTCTGTGGCTAATAGTCACAAATTAACATATGTAGAATGCATGTTATAACGTAATGGTTTTGAATCTTATGGGAATAGTATTTTTGTTTCTTGTTAACACAAGCTTGGGTTTAATAATATTGTAAATCCTAATTGCTATTATCTGATTTAATGCTCAGTATAATTTGTTGACAGATTGCTCTGTGTTTTTGTGAAATGTTCAAAAGACTTTTCAGAATAGTAAAATATCTCCTCGGGGAAAAGAAAATTATTTTTCATATGAAGCATACCATGGGGTAGAAAAAACTTTCAGTGTGTATGACAGTGATAAAAACTTGTCACTTCCATGAAACAGTACTTATGCAGCTACAAAAACTTAACGGTAATACAGGTCAAAAACTTTAATTAATATAGTGTTGATTTTGTGACACAAGTTATGATATTAGAGGCTTCTGTACTATTGTTAGGCTTGTGCTTCTCCAGTGGAGGGTATAGCAATGGCATATATAAATGCGTGAACTGGGTGTTCTGGTGGTAATAGTTTTCCTGCTAGCGCAGCTGGTTCCAGTTCTTCAAACAGTGTAAGCTGATGAAAATGTGGTGCTTTTTTTTAATGCAGTTGCAGTGACAGCATAGGATTTTTGAGAATAGAATGTGAAGGAAGGTGCATCTTTCCTTCCATTTCATTCACTTCCCCCTCACTGTTCTGCTTGTCACAGCTATGCCAGCAGAAGTCTGTCGTGTCAGTTTGGTGAATACCGATGTGTATGCTGGGTGTGGGAACAGTCTGGCTAAGAATGCCATTCCACACCAAATTGGTAGCTTGCAACTAAGCCATTCTTCATCTGTGTGTGGGGGGTTGCTGTGTCTGTTTGAGTAAGCCGTGGCTCAAAATGCTTGTGGAAAAAAAGGTGAGGATGAAATATTTCATCAAGGTCCTTTAACAGATGCTTACACGGAGTTGATATATGGTCAAGAGCTGTGTTTAATGCCTTGTAGCTGTTAGACAGTAATGAGTATACTCTTCTTTTACAGAAACTTTTGGAGCTCAAAGTGCATGAGAATAACCTGAAGATATCTGCATTTATAAACTCCATGTATACAAATGCATATGGAAGATCAGCACTAATTTCCCAGAATTCTGGAAGTGTATAAAAAATGTAAAATTTTTGACACACTGCCTCTTAGGATAGGTATGCTATCTTCTGCCTATGGCAGTTTCAACAGCTGGAACTGAATCCTCTTCTGTTCAGTTTTGCTGCACTGTTCTTTTTCTGTCTTTTTTTATTTTTTATTGTGATTTGTTTAGTAACTTTAAAATCATTTAAAATGGTAGTTTTAAATAAAGTTTGGATTTGTCTGTAAATTTGTCTTTCAAAAAATTTTCCTCTGGCTTACAAAATGGCATGCAGAGTTTGTTGTTGGAAGTTAACTGACTTTTAAGTGTTGGCGTGCTTGTAGCCATTTGTTACTTCTCTCAGAGAAACACTGGTAATTTTCCCAAGACAAGAGTTTCTTGTCTTACTAAGTTTATCAGTCTTCTACAACTATGAGGTATAGACATACCTACATGCCTTTATAACCTAGAGTATAGCTGGTCTGTTAGAAAAATAAAGTTCCTGTTGATGGGTTTCATTTCTTCCAGCACATTTATCTGAGGTGAAATAAATACCCTGGGTTTGTAGTTAACTGGAGAACCCATCTCCAGTTTCTGTTTTGCACTTTCAATGTTCAAAGGGATAAACCTGTCTGAAAATTTTAGCATCCTTTCACAGGTAACACCTGAAATTGCTGCAACTGAAAGCCTGTAGCTTAAAGTGTTTGACTTTGAAGAGTTTTCGTGTAGAAAGGAAGACATTTAGGAAATTACAACCAAAGTTAATGCTTAAAAAAAGTTCAAGTCAGCACAAAGGTGAAATTAGGATTATAGAAAAGTAGATTGGAAAGCTTGAACCAGAAAAAAAAAATTCTTCACTTCTTCAGATCAGAGTTGCTAGTAACAGTAAGTTGTAAAATTGAGCTAGAAATAGCTTATTTGGCATATCTGCTGCATTGTAGAGATCCTCTTTACCTTAAACACAAGGCTTCTCAAAGCAGTTAAAAAGCAATGATCATCTTTAATTCAGGATTGTCTTCCTTTTGAGGCTAGTGTAATAGTATGGCTACATGCTGTGGGAGACAGTCTAGTGACAGTGAAGCTAAATATGCCTGAAATTTTAATAAAAGAGTGTGATTCTTCTGTGATTTCTTTTTTTAGTTTGTTTGAGTGTCTGAGTTTTATGAGTGAATTTTGAAATGGCAGATTACAATCACATGCCTCTTGTCTCTAATGACAAAAGTATATCAAAAGGTTGGAAGACAGTTTAGTTACTGTGTGGGCTTTAAACTCAGTGTACAGAAACAGCTTTACGATTTTAAGGACAGGAACACTGGCACAAAATCAACCCTGTGAAAGTGAAACAAAATTGAAGTTTTTAATTACTAACCTAGCACAAGAATCATTCAGTAGACCTAAAAGAGGACACTTTCGTAAAGTATAACAGGAACGTTTGTGCATATATGAGACAAATCTAGTTTAGATGGTAAATCATTAAACTTCCAGCTCAAATGGCGGGAGCACACACCATGCCCTGGAATAGTGTGTATGAACAATGCACTGAAATGGTATTTCTTTGGTCATACTTTCTCTCTACCCTTTCTTCATAGAATGGTTAAGGTTGGCAGGGACCTCTGGAGGTCATCTTGTCCAACCCCCCTGCTAAGGCGGGGCCCCTCAGAGCTGGCTGCTCAGGAGGCTTTTGAGTATCTCTAAGGTGGGAGACTCTACAACCTCTCTGGGCAACCTGTGCCAGTGCTTGGTCACCCTTATAGTAAAAAAAAAGTTTCCTAACATTCAGAGGGAATGGCCTGTGGTTCAGTTTGTGCCCTTCTAGTCTGCCTTCAGCCCGTCTAGTCTAGTCTGCCTTCAGCCCGTCTAGTCTAGTCTGCCTTCATTATCCATTCCTTGAGAAGTTAAGCTCTCTCTTATATTCTGATGCCAATCCTTCTACTCCTATGTAGTTCAGTTCAAGTAGAAGATGTTTTTCCAGTGGTAGTAGAGAAGATCTTACTTAAAAAGATCACAGGGGATAAAGATTACAGGAGATACCAGAAGCAGAGTCTTCTGCATGATACATTGTTAGTTTCCTTACCAATCTGGACCAAAATGTTCTGTTTTACTGTCCAGTATCCATTGCACAGTTTGTCAAGTCAGAGACAGTTCCGTGGAACAATCAATAGAAAGAATTCAGGTAATTATTTTGAAGATGAAAGTTAAGAGGCTAGAGCTAGTTCTCTTCCTCTATAGCTAACACAATTTAGTAACAGCTCTTCCCTTAGAGGGAGGTCTGTTACTGTTGTAGAGTGAAGGACCTGACAAAGCAGCAGAACACTGGCATGGCATGAAACCAAATCATGTTGGACTTTGACTCATGTTCAGTGCTGGAAGTATCTGCTACGCCTGGGAGGAAGGTGGAATAATGGATTTCTTACAATAGATTGCAACATTGCGTTTGAAACTTCATTTTAATCAGATCCCAGTGTATCCTGAAAAGATTCATGCTCCAAAACTAATTACAGCATTCACAAAGTCTAAGCATTAAGACAACAGAAAACCCCTAGTAACTTTGGGTTGCTTTTGCTGCAATACTAGTATTTTGAACTGCAGTTACCTACTACAGGATTACTATCTTGTGTAACAGCAAAGAGTTCAAACAGAACTTAACCCTTTAGTGGTAAATTTTGAAGAACAGAAGTTAAGCTATTAGACTAACTGTCTTATTTCAAAAGAAACATTTACCCATTCTATACAAGTTTGCGTATTCATACAGTAGTATTTATTCAAAGACAGACTGGAACATTTCTTGCCCTACTTTTATATAAGCTTCTCTCTCTTCATTTGTCATAAGAGACACAAGCTCTGGATTTTCACTAACTTCACCATATGAACGAGGCTGACCAGCTACCATTAGAATAGGACCTTGTGTTTCCTGTTCCTCCTCTTGTTCGAAGTTACTGCCTGCTACTTTCGTTCCTGCTCTTCTTGAGTGCTTGGCATCTTCAGGCTCACTAGTATCGCTGCCTGATTCGGGTAGTTTGCTTTTGACGACAGGATCCTGGCCTGTGCTAGACAATGACTTGGATTCATGGATCAGAAGAGTCTTGATGATTTCATTATCAGCAGCAGTTTCTTTAACACTTTCTTCAGAAGCATTTACTCCTAACACACAATACTAAGTGTTAGAGGTATCAATAGTTCACAGTTACCACAGGCATCCTACATAAATGATTTTTTTTCTACTCTGGATCTTTTTTACCCATATTTTAGAATTCTCTTTAAAGTGCAGACATTTCCAAGAGATTTCACCTTTAAAGATTACCACTACTGTTACTGCACGATTAGAGCCAAAAAATTCAGGACATGGTACCTGACCTCTGGCTTTAGCAATACTACCTAAATCAGTCTAGTTTTTAGAAACTAGTCTGATAGCCACTAGTGCAGACTTGAAGCATTTTATTCTAAACCAAGCTCTGTACATTTTCAATGGGAAAGCTATATTTAAATGCAGTCAGGCTGTTGAATTTAAGTATTTGCTAATGCTTAAAACTTACCGGCACTGTTGTCGGTGGCTGTTGTTGCTCCTTCCACGGTGCTCTGTGACATCCAGATAGGTTGCTCTTTAGTTGTTTTTTCTTTTATTTTCTTCTTGGGCTCAGAGTGTTGGACATCAATAACTAAGTTTTGGGTGTACATATTACCAAAAGAGGAACTTCTGTTGGCCCATTTTCCAGGTCGGCTACAGGATTCCAGCACACTTGAACCCACCTTCTGATCAAAGCTGAAAGAAATATCACCCATTTTGAACAGGTTAAATTCAGGCAAGAACCCCCCCGTTCCCATTCAAAAAGAGACCAAAAAAGCATTAACTAGCTTTAACGCATGCTCTATATTAAAACAATTTGGATTCCTTATTACCTCATCTCAGAGGCAAGCGGTATTAAATCAGTGTTGATTTTTGCATGGTCTTTTCAGTAGTACCTCTCTGGGTGAAGCACATAGAAACGTTACTTTCTCACAGAAAGGGCTATGAACATTAGCTGAAGGAGAAGTCTGGAAAGGTATTTATTTAGAGAAGATAGCAAAAGTAAAACTAAATGCCTAAAAATTATTTAGAATGCCTTAGAAATTACAGACTTCTTTAAGCAGCTAAGAGTATTGAACAAAGGAGAAGGGAGTAGAAAGTAGGCTACAAGTATGGTATTTCAAAAGATTTTACAACTGCAAAGTTGTTGGGGGGGATTGTATTGACCAGAAGTTCTAAGGGGATGTTTATACCTTTCCGATAATTCTGCTATTTCTGTTGGCTGAGGCTCCAGCAAGTCATATGGCAGAACAACGTCTTCAGTCTCGCGCAGTAGCACAAAGATAGGCTCAATCTGCTCGTTGAATTTTGCTAGCAAGGTTCGAGCATCACGCTTAGGGAGGGCTGAGGCATCTTCCTCTACTTCGGTGTAGCAGTAAGTGCAGCGGAAAGTCTCTGCAACATTATCCAGATGGGAAATTCTCGTGTTCATAGGATGGAAGAGATCAGCAGTACCTTGTTAAGAAATCCACAGCCTGGACAATTACCAAAATATTCTGACTTTATCCATTTGCTCACATTAACTAGGGGGACTCAAGTTATAAAGGTAAGCTTTTTATTTTGTTGGAGAAGGGCTGATATTCACACACTTGCTATGCAAGAGAGAAATGTCTATATTAGGGGAAAAAGTTCAGATGGCTAGACATGGAGCATCATCAAATAGGGTTTTTTCTCCTCTGATCTCTTTTTCTTAGTTCATGATGCAAGAAAAAAAAAAAAAGACGTTTGCAAGCATAAACAACATCTGGGTTTAGTTAGAGTTCTAAAGTTCAAAAAGACTCATTTAGAGTCAAAGCATGTGCTAAAAACCTCTATTTATATCTTAAGCAAAGAAAAAAATTGAAGCATATTCTATTAAAATGTATCACCAGCCTCAGTGTTTGCATTTCAGTAACTTGACAGAGTCCCTCCATTTAGAACAAAGGGACGATTTTGCTAACTGACAGTTCGCTCATTTCGCCTTTGACATTTCAAGTTAGTCATACAAAGTTTGTTCTCCCTGGCTCTTGCGTCCTTTCCAGACACCATGACCCAGATGTTAACACAGTAGCTGCACTTGGAGTAATGTGTTGCGATATGATGCCATTTTGTTACCTCATTTTGAAAGAGTACTCTCTGTTTAGTTATTTTGATTTCAGAGAAGAGAAATCTGCAAGCTCTGATGGCGCTTCTGCTGTGGGTGTGTTGTGTTGCCCCGAGAGGAACCTGAACTTCCCGGTTTCCAGCACAGGAGTGATGACGCCTCTCCTCTGCTACCCAGCCGCAACACGCTTGTTACAGTAGGTGGCTGCCAACAGTTTTATCCATCTTGTCCAACTCTTCTACCAGGAGAGCTGGACACTCAAAGGGATTAACTAACACGTTCAAAATGGAATGAAGCGAGTACTGCATTCTCATTCCATATGAGGAAGTGGGACTCCCAAGACTTGGATGAGTAATCTGAAACCAGGTTAAGTGTCTTGTTCACAGCAAAGCTGATGCCTGAAATCTGATTCCCAACCCCATTCAAGGTAATTCTTCCTCTTATTTGGCCTGTTCTAGGGAGACAGCTTTTTCTTTTACCCTCACCTCCCAGCTTCTCCTGTCCCAGACCCTTGTCCACCAGCAGACAAGAAGTATGTCCTAGCAAACATGCTTTTATTGCAATAGGAGCCAATTGTGTGCTATCATCAGAGTTATTCTTTAAGATAAGAGCAAATAAGCAATATAAGCAACATACCTGTAAATACATCAAAGAGCTGATTGACTTCCAAGTCCGTGTAAGTGCTGGAGCAAGATGGACATTTAAAAGAGGACCTGGTAGTTGAATCCCGCTCATCCGCTTCTATTTTCCGGCGGACATGGTCCAGTTTGTATTTTACCACATCCACCAGCACCTTGTAATTGATGTAATAGTAATTGTGCCTCGTGCTCTTCCCATTAGGCCCAGTCTCAACTCGCATACGCAGCTTCACAAACTTGTCTGCCTTCAGCGTGTTGAGGATAGCGCGCAGTTGTTTACGTTCGTACTTGAGCAACTGTAGCAAGTCATCCTCTTTCACACAGGGGTAGCGGATCAGTATATCCAGGGCCAGGGAGTACTCCACTCCATAGAAACCACGCACTATGTATTTGGCCAGGCGCTTTAGGGCTGCCGGGACCTCTGTGATAACGTTTTGCTGTTCCATCAGGAGCTGAGCCACTGTCAGAAAGAGAAGGGCTGTACAACACATAGAGGGGAGGTGAGCTGTAGTGAACCTTTCCTAGCACTCACAGGCAGGTAAAAAGCAGGTTATTTGTTTCCCTGCGCTTCTGCAAGAGTCTTCACGGAACAGATAAATGCAAAATCCTTAACCTGCACCCAGGGATGGGAAGGTGTCAACAGATATCAAAGATTACACCTGAACTATTCATGTCCTCGTGTAAAAACCCACAGAAGGTATCTCAGAAAAGGAGTTACAGAAAGTTCATGATAATCCTCTTTACAGAAAGCAGCACAGCTAACTTGCATGTCTAGGTCTGCCTGAAGTATCTGTTTTCATTCACAGCCAGCCAAGTAAGATCTGAAGGGAACACTATATGCCTTCAAAAGTAAAGCTCAGGACACAAGCTGGGCAAGAAACCTTTAGCTTAGTTCATAACAACATGCGAGACAGATGAGATTTTTATCTCCCTTTGTGGCAAAGCCACAAGAGGTATTTGGGCATGTTTTAGTTTGCTCTTTCTGATTTTTCTGCTGGCTGCTGTGGTCAAAGGCCTGGCAAAGCTGGAGCACAGGGTGCTCCATCTTGTCTGGCACTGCCCTTGCTCAGCACAGGGTGTTTGGGGCTGTGCTTGCTTGTTCCACCACACTAAATCACCAGGGAACATTGATAGCGGAACATTTTCCTCCTTAGTACTCTTCTCCCCTGTAGAAATAGGGCTTCTGACAATAACCAGTTCCTCTTCACATTAACTAGAATGCAGCTTATTTTCATCAGTCCAACTGTCCTGTTTCTTATTTGTAGGGAGTGCAAGGAGAAGAAAAAAACTGAGGCATGTTTCAATAAAGCCACATCCCATTTCCCTTCTTTGAGGCATGTTAAAATCCTCCAGCAGTATTTGATACCGCAGCCTGTAGCCAGATCGCTTTGCAGAGAACCAACCATGCCACACGCAGCCAAATAGCGCTGGTGTAGCCACTGGATCAGCACGTGGGTAGGTAGTAGGATGGCGCGTTACAGCATGGTGCATCGCCAGCACTGCCACCCACTGCGGCACCGAGGGGCACCTTGCTCAAGCCCAGGTAGCTGCATAGTGCTGCCCAGAGCTTCCAGGCTGACCTTCACCAGAAATCCCAGTTACATTAACAAAACCTGTTTGCAGTAGCCTAGTAGTGGAGCCGTAATTAAATTTGCATCTCACAGGGGAAGCACTACCTTTTGGAAAACCTAAACCAAATGTAAACCTGTTGGTCTGAGGCTGGAAACCCTGAAGGCCATAGCACCACGCTGACCTAAATTTCCCACAGGAAGAATGGAGGAACACTAGAATAGGCTGCCCAGGGAGGAGATCGAGTCTCTGTACTTCAACTGGACGCAAGCCTGCGCAGCCTGACCTTGAGGTTAGGTCTGCCGTGAGCAAGGGTTGGACCAGATGGCCTCCAGAGGTCCTGTCTAACCTAAATTCTTCTGCTCTGTTCCAGAAGAGTTAAGTTTAACCATAGTAAGGAGAGAAGCCTTGGGAATGTCCATCATTTCCTTGGTAGTCCTCCTCAGACTGTAAGAACATTTCTATGCTTTTTCACAAAAGCCTTGAGGAAGAAGGAATTTTTTTTATTGTTATAGTTTCACTCTCACTTCTCCTTTGCCCTCATCCTCAAAAGAGGCTTGACTACAGTGCACCTGACTGTCACATGTTCGCATGGCAGCGTAACTCATCGCACAACTAGACAAACAAGATTCCCATCCACAGGCAGGAAAGCACAGGACCTTCAGCCTGTGCTCAGCCGAGTCTCCCAGAAGCTAAACCCTGTTCTCGCTGCCAGTCAGTCCCTAGCGAGGGTATGACACGCTGTCTGTGTACACGCGTGCAGCTGTGTCTGCGGTGGGACAGGGACATACTCTAGTCAAGAGTCAGGACTGAACTTTTCATATGCTGAAAAGAGAATAGAAGTTTAATAAAATCTTTCTGATTGCAATCCCATCTCCACCTCCTTCCTTGATGGATGAGTTCCCTCAAGTTGCCAGTGCATTTTCTGCCAGATAAAACCATGCGCGGTCCTGTTGGATAACAAGTTAGTGAGCACAGTGTCTATCCTTGAGCCACTCAACCATGTTCGTGCCCCAGCTGCGCTCCGCAGGCAATTTTCCTCTCCCCATCTGCAGCAAGGGCTCTTTGCTCCAGAGCTGAGTAGGCTTTCCTTTGAAATTAGGATAAGGGTAAGCAGGGGAGATGATTATATACTGAGATTAGCCAAGAAGCTTCAGCCAGCAGAGAAGCTACCGATGTGGAGGACTGCTTAGATTTACTGCTCTTGTCCCAGGGCTATGGGCTGGATTCCCACATCTACTCTCCAATCTTTTAACCCCAGGGGCACTTGAGCATAAAAAATGAGATTTCTGGAGCGCAGACAAACATCAGACTTCTTCCACAGAAAAATATGCTAACTTATGCTAAAGTCTCCTCTTTATGGCCTCATAAATTTGGAATTTGTTTCTGTGCAGTGGCTTATACTTAGCAGGAAGGAAGGACGGACAGTGCCCTCAGTCAGCCCCAGAGATCAGGAGCATGGCTTTAAGTCTCCTCAGGCTCTGGAGAGCGCTGAGCCTTGTCCTGCGCTGTGGGCAAACAGCCCACCGAACGGAGGCACTGTAGCCTCCAGTACAGGCCCAAAGGAAAGCACCGTCATGTAACCTGGTCCAGCCCCACTGAGGAGCGCTGAGTGCAGCCCCAGCGTATTGGGTATGGTCCCAGTCACGTGCATTAGTCTGGGCTAGTATCTCAAAAAAGGACAGTGTGCCCTCTGTGGATTAGTTTTATATAAACACCAGTTGGGTTGTGGCACTTATGGGAAAAAAAAAAAAAAAAAAAAAGGGGCAAACCCACTTCATCCAGTCCTTGGCTAATGGGGGCAGAACCTGACACTTAAAGGACTTGTATTAGAAGCAGGTCTCATGACTGTTTTTTCTTACCCTAAGTCAAATACAGAATGAAATAATTTCAAAGGGAGTGTGATAAGTAGATAACATCATCAAGGAAGAAGTAGGACCTGAACTGTAAGCTTGAGGTTTGCTGACTTACCAGTTCTCTGGGTGACTTCTTATCTGAGACTTATATTGCATACTTGCATCTCTAAAGCAAGCAGTTCTCTGAAGTGCTAGGAAGTCTGGACTGTGCCAAAGTGCTTACGAGCACCTTGATGTTAAAAGCTCTTCAGGGCCAGAGTCTTACAACTGTGTAAGGGAAAGAAAAAAACCCGCACCACGCCCACACAACAGAACCCCCCCATACATAAACGCATAGCATAAATAGCATGAATGTATCCTGGGAAATGAGCAAAAAGCTTTTTTCAAGAACGAATCTATAGAACCTACTGTCCACTCGCAGTGGGAATATAGATACGCAAGCCTTTGGTTCAATGTAAAAGGAAATGGCTTTCTTTTACAAAAATGACTGAATTTGCCCTTAAGGAACATTCGTGGAAAACACAAACCCCTCAAGAAGTGTTCCTTGAAGCTACAAAATAACCCAAACTGTATGTATTTTATAGTAAAAACTGCATAAAATCAAAATGGGGGGAAGCTTTCTCTACAGTGCTTTGGTATATTTGGAGTTGTGTATCTCCAGTCCATTTTGAAAAACCTCTTCATCTTACAATTGCTAAATCTGAAGTCTTGCAATTCAGGAAAACTGCTGATCTTTAAAAGCTGTTGTGTAGTTTTCAGCTCACAGGCAGCAGTTCTCCTTTAAGAGGAGCTTGAGACCACCCTTACCAAGGAAAGAAGGAGGAAGAGACACAGCTCCCTGCAGAGAGAGAAGGGCTTCAAACAGGAATCTTCTCCATAGCTGAGCTACAGTCTGTGTTAAGGAGACAGGTATTTTGCTACTTATGTAGATTTTTTTATTTCCTAGCTGATACCCTGTATGGACAAGATATCTTACAAGTCACAGTCTAGCTTCTACCTTTAGCTGCTTTTAAAGCACTTATTTTTATGAGAGTGTGAGCTATCTTCTTATTACATTGCTTATTTTTAAGATTATTCAGTAACTTAGATGCCCGAGAGGTCCTTCTGCTTGTAGTTAATATGGAGCCATTATAAGCTTCATCAAGGAGAGAGGAATGCCATGCCTTGTTTTCCCCATAAGCAGGAACTACCTTTAGGATCCTGTTTTTGCTTTGGGAAACCTACATGGAGTTGCTTGTGCTGGCAGGCAACTATCAAAAGCAGAATTTCAAGTTAAGAGGCATCAGACAGAGCAAGTTCTGCAAGGCCTCTCAGAAGCCAGTTGCTTAATTAACATTTCACTTGAGAAGGCAAACTACCCATCTCACCTTTTAAAAGGCACTAAACTAGAAAGATTTATCGAAGTAGTCTCTTGTCAGACTTCAGACAACCAAATCATTTGCAAATAAGTTAAAAACATTATCTTTACCTCTCTTGTATAGGCAGAAAACACCAGGCTGATACTGTAGAAGAATTGCTCCTTTTCTAAAAGCTCAAAGTAACTGCAAAACAAGCTTAAGTATTTTCCCAGCCTTCTCCTAGACCTACCTGTGATAAGCTCCAATTATCACTCAGCTGGAGCAAGAGAGTCCCCAAATCACATTTCATTAGCAACTGAATGAATTCAGCCTTACATGCATTGCATCATGATAAAGTTATAAATCTTATTGCTTAATGAAATCCACCTACAACAGGCAAGGACTGAAAATGTACATGACTGCAATCTTTGATTAGTATTTTCATTAGCATGACTTTAGAATAGACTAAAAGTAACATAATAATTAAGTAGTTTTTTTTGTTGTTGCAACCCAAATATTTGGTATAGGCAATTTAAATAATTGGTGTTTAGAAGTTTTCATAACCAAACAAACTTGGAAACTTGAATATCTTGCAAAGAAAAAGCTAGAATTTATATGTTTACTAGTTTTTGCATTTTTACTTACTAATCTTTTTAGGTGGTTTATGTCTTCAGAAGAAAACAA